GCTGTCAAGTGACACTTTTAACGTTTAGGAATTAGAGGAATGGAATGGAGCGACTCAGCCATTCCAGGAGTGGGAATGGGCCCAGTGTCCCCATTCCTAGGAGTTGAAAGGAATGGAATTATCGAAAGCTCTAATTCCCCGGAATGGAATTGGAATGGAATGGGGGTGCCCATTCCGCAACACTGATTTCTAATAATAATTGGGTTGTGTGTATGTTTATACAGCCTAGAACTTGGTCTGCCTCACAGGGGCGACGAGTCTCCCAGCTGTAGATGAGAAATTTAGCCAGTGCGGTACAACCGCTAGCCTGGGGTCTTTAACGTGCATCACGCAGTAGTGATACACGACCGCACGCCGGTACGATGCTCATCCAGATTGAAACGGGCAGGGGTGGGGCTCGAACCCAGGATCCCTGGGTTCTGCAGCGCGGGCTTTCGCTCCACGTGCTCCGAGCTGGTGTGCACTAGACCACTCGGCCACCGATCCCCCCCACAGTATTTCTTTGAACACACACACCGTAAAGAAAAGATAAAGTGCCTAGATGTTTTCCCGTACTAGCGCTAACAAAGTTCCATAAGTTTAGAAGTCAACTTTCATGTGGTACATTTCAAAGCAGGGCGTCGCACAAAGCCCTACTTTGCAGTCCTCGCACCATGTCCTTGTTTATTTGCGTGGCTTCTTTCCCGAGTTGTTCGAATGGGCATGTGTGCACACAACGCATGTCGGCTCCTGCTTTTTTGGAGTTGGCGGGATTTTTCTAGGGAAGTGACGGCCCTTGAGTCTCGTCAGGGCGCAGTCAGATCTGCGGCCTGGTCTTGGTCGTCCTTCACTGTCAGGGTAGCGTTGAAGCAGTAACTCCACAAGTTGGACGCGGAAATCCAGATGGCTCAATGTTCCACCTTTCTTCTTGTATAGGCAAAAGGCATTGAAAATGGAAATGCCAACAAGGTGGGGAAACAGTTTCTTGTAGCAAGCCTTTTGCCCTTTGCATAGCGATGGATAGTAAGACATGTTCTGGTCTGAGCGGTTGACGCCACCCATTGTGTTGTTGTAGTCGAGAGCGATTGTAGGCTTTGAAACTTGCTCGTTCTTCGAGTTGACAACATCTTGCATTGTGGGTGAGTAAACCGTGCTTAGAGAGGTTACAAGCTTTTTGTCTCTCCATTGCATAGCGAGACATTTCCCGCATTGAAGGGTGGCAACCTCCCGTTTGTTCAACTTTATCTTTTTGAACTTGGGCATTTCCTTTCTTCCAGGACGAGCCGTTCCGTAGCCGTCAGTTTTTCGTTTGACGAGCATGTCGACTAGCTCGGGCGAGTTGTAGTACAGTAAAACCTTGTTATAACAAAGTTGAAGGAGCGGTCGTAATTATTTCGTTATAACCATTAGTTTGTTATAGCCAATGTCCATTTCTTCCCACTATTAGCAAGCAAGGGGAATTATGATTGCTTTGTTATATCCATTAGTTTGTTATATCCCATTTTGTTATAACGAGGTTTTACTGTAGTTGTCAATTGTCAAGGTGTACCCCTTGTCAAGAAAGGTCTTCATGAGTTCCATTACCACCTTGATGCCCATCACTTCTTTGCCATCCACATCTACCATCCCCTTTCCAGTGTAGAGAATCAAACCGCAGACATAGCCGCTGCAGGATTCGCAGAGCAGGAAGAATTTCAGACCAAACCTTGCACGTTTGTGTGGTAGATATTGCTTCCACGCCAGTTATCCTTTGAATAGCAGGAGACTCTCATCGACGGCCACATCCTGCTCCGGCGCATTCAGCCTTGAAAGCACAGGCCACAGATTCTACGGGTTCGGGTGGGTTGCTTCGTCTATTGCCAAGCTGGTAAAGTGACGGCAGCGCATCAGTGCCTGAAAGCGTTTCCTGCTCATTGCTTTGCTAAACACCGGCATCGCCAAGACTTCTCTTGTTGACCAATACATCTCAACTTGCGGTTTGCCAACGTTTCCTTGCAAAATTATTAACACAAGGAACACCATCTCTTCGCGGTCCACCGGTTTCCATGAAGAACTCCGCGCTGCGAAATGCGTGACCGTGTACCGGTTTGGTCTCTATCACAATGAGGTTGACAAGGTCCCAATCAAAAAAAACTTTGAACCAGCCGAGAATGTCTTTTTCGTCAGTGGGTTGCCGCAGAATCCCAGGCACTGCACAAAACGGAAACCTCGGAGGCGCGGGCGGCGGGTTTTCAGTGTTTACGCATTGCCGCACTCGAACACTACCCAGCGCGCCTTCTTCTTCGTCACAGTAGTCGTTGTCTAAGTTCGTTTCATGTTCAAAATCTATGTCCAACTCACTTTCAGAGACGAATTCAATGTCTTCATCGTCGCTACTGTTCGAACTGCTGCAAGAGAGAACCCGTTTCCGAGGGCCGTCACCGGCATCACTCAAGCCTGCTGCCATTTCTAACCACTCTTGCGAGGCTAGATACGCGCTAAAGGCCAAAGCACGCTATATTTCTGCAACCTCTCCTGCCCTCCACTGTTGAAAATTGAAACTAAAGCCGATGGACGAACCTGTCTCGTGTTTGGCAGTGAAAGTAAACCATCATTTCGGCTGGACGAGTGTGACTCGTCATTGGCGATATGGGTACAACCTTCCATGATGAGTACAGCTCGGGCCGGGTAATTAAAGGGTTAAGAAGGCGGTGCAAAAACCACGACGGTGCCACAATTATAGTGATTTACTTGAGCAGCAAGCTGCCAGCGCTGTGACGCACATTGCACAAGGGCATAAAAGCTCTAAAACGTTTGTACCATCTATACTAGTGGTTTTCAAGCCTCTGGCCATCACGGACACCTAAACCCACTCAGAGGCCGTTTGCGGACCCCACTGTATTCTGCATTAGAGGTCTCGAGCAATGGCATAGGAGAGCCTTTTAACGCAGTAACGTTTAGGAGCTCGTGTCGCAGAAAATCTAGCGTCGGCGTCGATGGGACGAAAAAGTCTCCTAATGCACTGCATGCAGCCACGTGTGCCGTCACACATGGCTGTGACGTCATGACTCTATCAACCCGCTAAATTTGGAGGGAAAGTTTAGCGGAAAATTTTCCGCTAACTTTAACGGGTCGATAAGTTCATGACGTCACAGTCACATGTGACGTCACTCGTCAGGTGATATGACGTCATGTAACACTACTGATTAGACAATGCACACACACTTGCACAGCTGGGGAACGTGCACGGGTTTATAGGAGAAGGCTTTGCGAACGGGGCCCGATTACGCTATGGCGTTCCACTCTTAAAGGTGAAGCTTAAAGGAGCTATGCAACAATTTTTGTACTGTGTACAAATACCGCTTAAAACATCCCTAACGTTAATGACCTATGAAACACGCGTTCATTTTTAACCCCACGCAATAGAAGTCCCAGAAAAAAATTTAAGAAATACGAGCAGCGTTCAACCCCTCAACTCGCAGCCAGAACAAGCGGCCACGTGATCTGAAGCCGATTATATTCCGCCAGTGTTGATCATAGCCACGCGCTGGGGTTGGCAAAGCGCAGGACACGCGCTGAGTTCCAGACATTGTTATGGCTCGGCTGTTGTCGTCGTTGCAGCGATTGGACACGGGTCACAACCCGAATGCTTCTCGCGCTAGCAATTGTCACGAGCCCAAGTCGAGTGCCCACGCAATGCTCGGGTCCAATCTATGAACCGCATTCAAATATCGTCACTTGGGTGTACTGCAATCCCCGAGTTACGTCATCAAATTTTGCAAAGGAGAGATTGAATGAAAATGATCGCTTTTGTCCTTGAAATTACACCGCAACAAAGGAATTTCTTGGCTAATGGCGTTGCGTGTGAGTATCCTTGGGTCCCAGGTGTGCCAGTAAGCTCGTGTAGAGAGAAAAACATTCCAATTGAACATTGTTGCACAGCTCCTTTAAGCGTCCCCCAAGTTTTTTTCTTAGAACAGTTTTCTGACTCGGCGCAGACCTGCGCGAACGCTCTCGAGTACCCTCGGAGGTCCACAGACCACGGCATGAGAACCACCGATCTATACATCCTACACTACCCACGTCTGAGGCACGTCACAAAGTTTTGAGGGGTGGCTTAAATTTCGTCTTAGAGCTCTAAGGAACAGAACCTCGACATTGCTGTTGCGGCTAACAAAGGCTAAACATCGATGCCCTTTTGCTTTAAATGCGGTACGACGAGATCCTCTTTTAAAACCTCTGCCGAATGCGCGAGCAGTGCACGCTTGATTGCTTCCGAATCCCGTTTCCCCTCGCTCGACCAAGCAGAGACTGCCAAGTCCATTGTGTACCATACGATCCCTTTTCCGTCGCACCCTGGCCTCGACAAGGCTCGTGTCGAGTTTTGAGAAGCATCTCTTATTACTAAAACTCGACTTTGAATGGGCGAGTTGGTCGTTTGTACCTCCGACGCTAGGGCGCAGAAAAGCCGACGTGCAAATTGCGCTGTGTTCCTTGCGCGGAAAGAGTGGTTTACTTTTCTACCCTTTCTCGTGGAAGAGACTGCATAAGGCAGACTGGTAGTCGTCTTAACAATCGACTTGGTGAATGCAACGTTATCAAAGCCAATTCTGGACACCTCGGGGTTCTTTGCTGAGATTGCAGTTGTATGGCAAATCTAACCAACGGCACCAAGATGGGAATGTGAATCGAATCACTGGGGAGATTACCGAAGCCAAAAATATAGAGCAACGAAACGACCAGTATGTTGGCACCTCGTCTCTAACTTTGTCGGGGAAGGAGGTACATTATCTAGCCACAATTTCGAGGAGACAGTAGTGGAGATATTAAATCGTTCCTGTTAACGCAATGAAGAGGAAGGATGAGGGAATTAAAAAACTGAGTTGTTAATCGGCACTTCCCTTTCTGTGTGCCCGTGCAAATGCATGTCCGCTTTTGTGTGCCTTAACGTGGGAGCATGGCGGTTGTGGTCAGGCCAAGGAGGCCGGGAACGGCCGGAGTCCCCTGAAGAGGGGTGCGAGCAATGCCCTCGTTTGTTCCAGGCATGGATCAAGAGTCACGGCGGAAGGTTTGCCAGATTTGTGGGTGGGAAGTTTGTGGCTGCTGTCTCGGACAGTCCCCGGGAGGTAAAGGACCCTGTGACCGGTGTCCGTCTGGGCCTGGTGGACCTGGCTTCCGCCGCGGACGTCTGCGCTGCCTTCGTTGCTGCCAGAGAGGCTCAAGCCTCCTGGGCAAGGCTAGGAGCTTACCAGCGATCCAATTGTCTTTATAGGTATGTTTTACTCTTGCACCGGACTCAGTGGGATACTTGATTTTGGAGCTCTTGTCGCCCGTTATAGAGCTGCCGCGGTGCAAAGCATTGCACACTAAAGGCACCAAAAGATGGGAACAGAGTAAAGATGGACGACAACATGAAACACCTCGTGCCAATCTTTACTTTGTCCCCGTCTTCTAGTGCGTAATGATAGAAACCAACCAACCAACCGTCAAACTCCGTGAGCACCCGCAACTTTGGGGGCCGACTCACCGGAATGCGGTCGAGCATGCCACTTCCGGAGTCCTGGCACCTCGTAAATATTTGGTGACTCTGATGCTCTCCAATTGCAATGAGCGACTGGAGAAGGGTACCCGACATTTCTTCGTGGTACGCTCCACCTCGAATCAACTGGCCTCGCAGCATGGCCCGCAGCATGGAGAAGCACACGGCCCTCCTGGCGCTGGTGGAGAGCCTGCAATCGGGCAAGACGCTGAGCGAGGCCCGGACCCGAGACATGGCGTACCTCACGCAGAGCCTCTTCGTCTGTGCCAGCTGGCTCATGCGCCTCAAGGACTCCATTCCCTGCTCCCAACCACGAGGCGAGGAGCACCACATTTTGCTTAGCCGCTTAGATGTGCCAAATTCAACGCCTAACGACAGATTTTCCTTTCGCGATGCGCGGAAGAGATGTCTTGCGTAATACAGTAATGTCTCGTTAGTATAAACACCTCCGTTCTCCCACGAAAGCGCCCATAATGTGAGTTGTCCATAATAGCGAGGCAAAAATGCACACATTTGCCTAGTTCGTCCCCCAGAATGTCTCTATATTGCGGGGTTCCCATTAATGAGGCGTGACAAAACTACCGACAAATGGACCGGTCGTTGCCTCGCAAACCGGCGAGAAGGAAAATGAGTGTCTTACGCCGACGCTCGAGGATCATGACCGTTTTTGGCCGTATCTATCTAGAATGTTTCATACCCTTCCTTTTTAGAGGTTAAAAAATGAAAAACGTTTACAACTCCCTGTTACGCCGAATTAGAGCGCAGCTCTTTTTGGGGAAGGAGGGGAGGGTATTCATCTCCTCCCCTCTTCCTCCTCTGCTCCTCCCCTCCTTTCCTCCTCCTTTTCCTCTCTTGAGGTATTTTGATTTTGCGATATACCATACCGTGCAAAACAATCTGAGAAAGATATATATATATATATATATTTGTGGTATTCTCGCTCACCACTTGTCCGGAGAAAGGAAATATAGTTCTCACATGTGGAAGCTCCACTTTGTCTTAAGTTCTGCCGGTGCCAAGAAACAAGACAACAGGAGCAAGGTGGGAGAACGAGACAGTGTTATGAGTCAGCACTTTGACGAAGCACGTGCTACTCTTCATGTTATCCTACTTGCTGTCGGCTCTGTCGAAGACTGCTCGGCATTATGAGTCAGCACTTTGACGAAGCACGTGCTACTTTTCATGTTATCCTACTTGCTGTCGGCTCTGTCGAAGTCTGCTCGACGTTTTTGATTTCCTCAGCATTAGTCTTGAGCTTGCTCGCCCAAGATGGCACAACAGAACAGCGAGTGCACGTCCCTCGGGGCCAATGGAATGTTTTCCTGCATGACTGGTATGAAGTTCTTCTTTGTCTTGCACAAAATATTTGGTGAGTGCTGCAGGCGAGATATACAGAGCTACCGCGAGTAAACCTCGGCAGCACACAATTTACCAACTTCGTCTGACATGCCACAGAGATCGACAGGTACAGCACAGAGCCGTACCCATGTAGATGGCCACTTGGGTAAAGAGCACACCACGTTTTCATATGTGCCTCTCTGTGATTTATGAACAGTGATATCATTTGCTTGCACAACAGGTAGCTGACATCTCTTCCCTCCTCCTCCCTACTCATCTACTCCTCCTCCTCCTCACCTCCTCATCCCCCTCCTTTCTCCTCCTCCCTCCTCCTGCCCATCCTCCTCCTCCCTCCCGCGAGGTGCATTATAGGAAACGTCCCATAATGCAACGCGCGGGTCACGAGTGAGACCCATGCGTTGCATCATGGAACGTTTCCCATAATGCAACGCGCAGGTCACAAATGAGGCTTGCACGGTGCATTGTGGGACGTTTTCCATAATGCACCGCGGAGTTACGCCGACGCCGCCGACGGGCGCCTAAGAGCTGCGCTCTAAAACTTAGACTATTCTTAATACGTAATGGCATTTAAATTTAAATTAAAAAAAGACATTTAAATCCAATGCACAAACGCTTCATAATTGACATTGTTTTCGGCAGTCGCGTTCGGTCACCACTGTCAGGTGCTACTGCCGTAATACCCTCGCAGCTTTAGTTTTTCTTGGACCTCACGAGCGTTCGCACGGGCATGTTGCGCACTTCGCCTAGCGAGTCTAGAAGGTGTTGACATTTTGTCCTTCCAGGCGTTGTGGGAGTGGTGGTGGACGACCCCAGCGCCGTCGCCGCCACAGCCGCCTGGCGCGTGGCCGAGGTTCTGGCAACGGGATGCGCGGCGGTGCTTCTGGTGCGCCCGGAGTTCTGCCTCTCCGCGCTGGCCTTTGCGGAGGTCCTCGCCTCTGTGGGGTGAGTGCCCACCTCAGGCCGACCAGCGAGCCTCGCGGCAGAAACATTTGCCCAGCACCGCGGTCCTCGGAACGCTTCTGTGACCGAGCGGTGTACACATCCTCAAAGATGGTGCCTCCACAGATTCTTCGGTATCCACGAGTAGGGATGCAGCAACGACGCTCGCGTTTGCTCGAATGGTGTGGCGGAACTTCTCCCTCCAACCGCCGGGATCCGACGGCGCAGTGCTCCGGTTCCCGCGACGTGTTGACACTTGGGGACCACTCTGGATGCGCGAGAGGGAGAGGACACTAACCACACCGGTCGAAGGCACGTTCTGGGCACCGCAGCACCGCCGGGCCGCGTTACAGGGTCGACCGTCTCTCACCGAGCACTCGCGCACCCGACCCCTGTTCTCTCACGGGCCGCTAAAAAGTCGCAGAATGTGGGATTGAAGCGTAGATAAACTCAAACTTCCGCGGCGAATGGAGGAAAGAATTCAATTCAACGTGGTAACGAATTTATTAACCCTCGCATCCAAAGCTTGAGTTTTTCGACGCTCGATACGGGGCAAGGGGCTCGATACAGGCAACGGTCGCGGAGGCCTGGATCGACAACCGGCGGTGGACGGGTCCGGCGGCATCCCCCGGCTCGATCGGAGAGCCTCTTTCAAAGACACGAGCGAATGCCTGCTCTCCCCTCCGTCAAAATTCGTCCAGAAGTGGAAGAGAAACTACCCTTTCTTCCGCTAAGAGTCTCAAATGACACAAGTCGCAACATTGCGTCTTCTTCGGTACTCTCGCGGCGTATTAAGAACTGAGGCAATCCTCTGCTGGACAAAGCGCGGTTGACAGAATGGATGGCGAACCGGGGGGGTGACAAATGTGGCACAAACGGAAGTCGGGTGCCTTCGCACCAGCACGACGCTCCGCAAAGGTGCTATGAAGGCGGCTGCACGCCTAAAGGCCGCTTCGCACATTTACGACCACTTAGGACTGAACAGGCTAAAAACTGGATTTCGGGCCTTTCTCGACTGCCTTCGATCATCTATGCGGTGGTCGTAAGCAGTCACGAGTGCGTGAACCAGCCTTAAGGGTGGCAGGCACTCTTTTCTTCTCTCTCGTGCTACTCGCGACGGTAGACCTAGGGAAACGCCGCCTAAAGCTCTCGCACTTCCCTAATCCCTGCACTTTCTCCCCCACGATTATATCTCTGTGAGTGTCACTCGTTTCGAATCGGTCGGTTTTACCGCGTGTGTTCCCCTTCTCCCAGGCGACAATGGCAGCGAGAAGAGAATGAGAGGGTCCGCGAGAGAAACCTTTGGTTTTGTGCCGCCTGTTCGTTAGGAGAGGGGAAAAGAGTGGGAGGCGAGCAAATGTGGGAAGCGCGCAAAGCCCGACATGTGGAGACGGGGCAGCGTATCTCGGACGTGGACCTTCTCCATTTTTCCGCAGCCTTCCTAAAGGACTGTTCAACGTCCTCCCGGTACCGGAAAACGCCATTGCCGAGCTCCTTCGCGACGCTGCAGCAGATGCAGTGTTTGTCATCGGACGCGCGCGGACGGGCTTCCTGGTGAGGCAGGCCCTGGCCGGACGCAGGACCTCCTTTTCGAGCTTCCACGCCAGCAGACACGTCGCGGTGGTCCTCGAAGGGGCCGACCTGCACAGCGCCGCCTGCGGCGTCTCCGAGGCGTTTGCCCGCAGCTGCGGCAAGGTACGTGCAGACAACTTTATGGTCAGTGGATTTGGTCAGGGCCACGTCAAAGCCGACTTCTCGCTCTTGAAGTAGTTGCGCACATCGAAGGTAGAAATACGGCACCTGGAATGCGTCTCCGACTGGTGCGTTTAACGCGTCCAAGAAATTCCTTTCTTGATTTTTACATGAGGATGTTGTAGGTACGTCGCCGGCCGTGTCCCTGCCGGTGTCGCGGTGGTGGAAGTGGCGGACGTTTATTCCGCTGTGGGTCGCCCTTGGGCTCGATGGTCCATGGAAGCTTCGAGAGTTGGAATGCCGCAACGATGACGATGCTTGCATTTTCTCGCGCTTTTTGCCAGAGTTCCCGCGACCGACCGCCAGGATGATGACATCGGACGACCCGACACTCCAACTTTTGGAGGTCGTTTGCTGGCACTTCAAGGCCATTTCCGACGCAGGGACGAACGACAAACGCTCTGGTCAGAGACGCATTCGGAGCACTGGAGAAGAAGCAACCATATCTCGCGTTAAATAGCCAGATATTAAATATGGCGCTCCACCGTCAGAATGGGCTGTGCCATATCAAAGATACCGCGAGAGTGCTGTTTCACAATAATTTGTAGATATTCTCTAGAAACTGGGAAACAGGCACTTTTTTAAATGGAGCATGCAATAGGACGTGCTTTGCCACTTGCATGAGAGTGCTCGGAGAAGCGGGTAACGAAGAAAAGCGTCTCAGTTAGCCTGGCGGGCTGGGAAGTCAGGTGGGTGCTCGACGGGTCCTTCGCTTATACAGTCTAAGCTCGTTATAACAGACCTTGATTTTGACGAAGATTTCGGTCTGTTGTAAAAGGAGTATGTTGTATGCAGATATAAAGTTGAATCAATGGTGCATAGAGGAAGACCAACCGAACTTCACAGATTGATATGTTATACCCAAATGTCTGTTGTAACCAGGTCTGTTATAACGAGCTTAGACTGTAGTCGGAAGCGGGTTAATGGATCAGGGCATGCTCATCCCTTCTTTTTGCACTTCAGCAGACCTCCTCCATTCACTCTGCTAAAGTGAAGAGAGTTGGAAGGAGCTTCCCCCGAACTCTTAACCCGTTGTCGACTGTGGTTTTCGGAAGCTTGAAACATAGTGGGTGGGTGCCCAACGTGAAACGGGCGCACGTTCGGTATTTAATGGAATTTCTTTTACTCGACCTTATTGTCGAGTTTGTAACTCTCCGCGTTCGTTTGGGCAGTTAACCCAGTTGTGCAGCAACCCCATTTGCCTAGCCCTTGTTTTCGAGGCAGAAATTCAAGTGTTCATATTACATGCCTACACCACGCTCGGGTGTAAATAGACTCGAATCCATCTTCGTGCGGCATTTTGTATCGCGTTTTGGCTCGTGCTCTTCCCTAGGAAATGTTATAGTTTTCCTACACTCACAGTCACAAAGAATAGCGATCCTCGAGCCATATTCTGCCCCGCTCAATGGCCGCGCCGTCCTACTTTTGCGCACACTTACGGCAGTGCAGAGAACGGGTCATGCGGAGCTTCCCCTTTCCTTTCCAGGGCGAAGCCTCGGGACTTCAGGTCTTCGTGCAGGAGTCTGTCCACGGGACGTTCTCAACGCTCCTCACCGAACGGTTCTCTCGGCTCAGGGTGGGCCTGCCCAACGACAAGACGGCAGATCTGAGCTGCTTTTCTCCGCTTCCCTGCGAGCCTTACTCCGGGGCCGACGTCGGCAAAATGCCTGGAGCTGTGGTAACCAGACTGACTCCTTGTCGTACTTGTGCACGGGGGATGCTTTTCGGGGAGGGATGTGCGTAACATTGGTGATCGGTGGAGCCGGCTGGACTCCCTCCCCGACTCGGGCATTCGCACGAACGGCGGGGAGCCGAGAGCAATGTCGGTGTTGTTGGATGCATTTAGTTGTCGCACTCCCGACAACGGTGTGTGCCTGACGAGAGTAGAAAAAAGAAGGCGTACATGAGACGGTGGTATACAATTATGGCAGCAGTGCTGTTAGATGCAAATATAACCTAATACCTTCTTGGGGAAAAGAACCTAACAAGAAATTGCCACAAAACAGGTGCCTTTGCTACATTCAGGAGAGAGTTAAGAACTGGGGTGGCGCTTAGAAGCGCGTCGATGGGGCAGATGCAAGGCCCGTCACAAAGGCTCATTTCTTTTTTATACACGCAGACCGCGGACGTCTCCGGCATTGCGGCAAAATGTCCGACGGTGCCTGTGCTGCTTCCGGACGTGGCCCCATCTTCCGCCGTAGTGGATGCCGTGAGTTTCGCCCGTTTCATCCCAACCTCCCCATTCCGGGATGAACGCATCAAAGTCGCGGAGTGCCCTCAGAAATTAAATACGCTCGTCTCGAGCCTGTCGCACAAACTCGTTAGACATTGACGGTAGATTAGTTTTTAAAGATATTATTCGTGAAAAATAGTTTTATCATCAAAATGCCTCAGAGTCTCGCATACTTGTGGTTGGGCTTCTCTTAACTTGCTCAGAAAGCTAAAAGGAAGTTTATCTGCGTTAACAGATTAGCACGATGGCATTCCGCCAACTATTTCCTTCGCAGCTTACGGCGCCGGCCGACCAAAGGGAGCTCGCGCATCTTCCCCTAATCGTAACGTGGTGCCCGGAAACTGTCCAGAGCAGTAGAGGCCCGTTGAAGAAGGCAGGGTGCGTCTTTCGGACGCCCGGCACCCACGAGCTTGAGGTGCGCGAAACGCCCGAGTGGCGTCTGAGGTGGGAAGCTTACACCGGCAGCGGGACGGCCCGAGCTCTTCCCCGCCACCGCCGCCGTGTTGGTCACTATAGTTCGCCTTCTGCCCGTTTTGAAAGTGCTGAATGCTTTTTCATGAATTCCCAAAGTTTTGTTTGTCTTTCGCCAACGCATTTTCTCACAAGTTTAGCAAGGAAATTGACGTCGCGCGATGCCAGGTCGTGCGACCTAGTATACGGCAATTTATTTTCCGCTTTAAATTTAGCGGGAAACCTCGCGTCGCAGGACCTATAGACCAATTTGGTTTTCCCGCTAAATTTAGCGGGGATACGGATACGAGTAAGAGTTCTTCGTCGCTTCCCGAAATGACCGTTCGGTGTCTTCTAAACCAATTTAAACGATCGCGTTTTAAATACCGCATTCCACGCATTAACAGGTCTTTGGAAATGAAGGTCGCCTCCACACTCTTTGTCCGCCTCCATTCTACCCGGCGACGCAGTACTTGGATGTCGTGTCTGACGGTGCCAACTCCCTGCCGCTCAAAACGCTTCCCCAGGAGGTTAAGGACGGGAGCAAGATCCCGAGACGTCGGCGGTCCCCGGAAAGGGAATGAGAATGACGAAACGAAAGCAGACGGCGAGTTAGGTGCATTCGTTTTGCCGTGAGGAGTCTTTATTCGAGCGCTCGTCGACTTTGCTTGTTTTCTTACAATGCGCGACCTGGGTGTTTTTCGCCGAGCAAGTACAGAATAAAGCTAGGAAAACAATGAGCACGGATTTCATGAGCGATGTTGTCCCGCTTCTTCGTGTTAGACCGTCGCTGGCGATGCAGGCATGTCAGGGCAACCAAAGGGACCGCCGACGTCTGCGTTCATGCCCCGCCATCCCGAACTGGTCGCAATGCATGGGAGCTTTCCCCCTAGATCGTTGTAGCAAATAGCTTGGAGACCAATACTGGAAACTCTCTCGGCGCAAGGGCGAAAACCGATCGCGGCACCTCTGGCAAGTCTGGAGTCTTTGCTACCAAACAAACTCCTTGGAATGCATTGGCTTTGCCTATCTCCGCTTGAGGAAACCAACAGAAAAGCATCGCGATATTGTTTTTGTTTTTGCTTTGATTGATAAAAACTACCATTTCGTGAGTGAAGAATGTGTTCTCTCCAAAAAAAATTTTTTCTTGGCTTTTAAGCCAAGAAAACATTCTGACGTCAACATTTATATAAGGCGTGAAAAACAAGAATCTATCTTCTTGCTTTTTTTTTTTTAATGTACTAGAATATCTAAAATTTTCGAAACTTGGATGTCTTAACTCTAGTGTTCCTATCAATCAATACGTCTTACCTTTGCCGTTGACATTAAAGGGATTGTCCGGTCAAATTTTGTATTCGAGAAAACAATTGAATATCGTTGTTATTGCCTCGAGAAGCATCGTACGTGCAATATCTGAATTTTATACGCCCATCTGCGTGAGTAATTGAATTTATACTGCTTCAATCGCATTCTAGCATAAACACTGCTTTCGTTGGCAACGCTGAAGCTCTGATGCTACAAAACACAAAGCGAGCATTTCTGTCTCATTGTTTGCCTACAAGTGAACGCCTCAGCATGCTGCGTTTTTGTTATTATGCTCGACTTGTTTCGTGGTTGGGTGCCACAACCACCGGGCAGCACATGCGAGCCAAGACATGACGCTCCACTCTTTTCCGTGAGACGTACGGTGACGAGCAAAGTGGATTGTCGCCGTGCGTAGGGACTAGGTTCCCATCTAGATCGAGATCCCATTTATGCAGCAATCATCTTGCGGCAGACAGCTACGAGCTGAGCTCTAAGCAGACAGAAGGCTTGTAAGCTGAGGTGTGATGTTGTGCCAACGATATTAAACTACGCCCATCGACTCCTCGCCCAAATCGGATCAATCAATTTGATTATGCAGCGAAACCGAAACCAACAGCTAGGCCATCTGGAAACGATACCAGAAGTTGTATTTAGCACGCGTGCAGCCTGATTCTGTTTGACCCACGTGTGAAAATGGAGCGTGACTACAATTCACCAAGCTCGTCCAAGTCAAGTGACGACATGCGTTTGGACGATTCGTCACTTGCCTTCGACCTGCGGACGTCGCCTCTGAGGAAACGACCTGCAGCTTCATCACCGCTCCAGCGGATCCGCCGACATGTGTACCACGATACCGCTTCAGAGGCGAAATCTGCATCCTTTGATTTGCAAGTGCCCCTAGTTCGAACGGTGGTTGTCGCAGTTGTGTTTGCGCGAAACGGCATAGGTTTGCTCAAAGCTTATCGTGTTTTGCGAGTAGTAATATCCTGCTAAAAGGCGTGACTTTTTTTGCGCATGCTTGGGAACTGCATTAAAAGAACCGTATTTCAGTTGAGCACAGCTTAGGAGACGATATAATTCGAAACAAAATGCAAGACATTCATCGACGAACTTTTGTTATCACGACCATCCGACGAACCTTTGCGTTTTGTGACGTCACGCAGCACCTACGGATGTCGGCCATTGACACTGGCGAAACTCGGGGTGCAGTTTTGTACCTACGCACATGAAAGGTTTAAATAAGAATGGGAGATCATATGACAAAATAAAAATGACGTTTGTCTACATGAAGGCTTCCTCGATGTAACGAGCGCAAAAACCTAAGTACTTCCGGTTTTGACCGGGCCATCCCCTTAATTACCATTCTCACGAATGCCTTGCTCGTACCTATCTTGTCGAAAAGACAATCTGGCTAATCCTGCAGACAATTGCCAACTATAAAAAGGAAATTTCGCTGAAAACCTATTGCAATATATTCGCTACCGCAATGTCAATTTGCTGTGGAGACAATTGTGCATATCAGATCTCGGGTCATTACCGAAATGAATACAGTCTAAGCCCGTTATAACAGACCTTGATTTTGACCAAAATTTCGATCTGTCGTAAAAGGAGTATGTTGTATGCAGATATGAAGTTGAGTCGATCGTGCATAGAGGAAAACCAACCGAACTTCACAAATCGATATGTTATATCCATATGTCTGTTGTAACCAAGTCTGTTATAATGAGCTTAGACTGTATATACATACACTTAATGGGCAAAAAAATGCAGTTACTCAATCTTTGCTTCTAATTTTACTGTACTGTTTTGGTGGGGGTTCGGACGTCGCCGCGCCATGGTGTCTTTTATTCTTTCTGCCTTTCTGCTTGTTTCTCTTTTTTTTTTGGTCTCTTTTTCCGCAGTCTTTCAGGTATTTGCATTAGGACCATCAAGCCGTTTATTTTTATTAATGCTTTGTTTTTTTATTCACAATCACTTTTTGTTTTTGTTTGTGATGGAGCCTCCAAAATGCTTCTTGTGTTTTCAGTTGTGCTTGATTTTTACTGGTGCAATGTTTGTAAAGTGTTTGTACGGTCATTCTTTTTGTCACTTTTGTAGTGTCATTGTTACCGTATTTACACAATTGTAAGTTGACTCGATTGCAAGTCGACCACCCTTATTGCACATCAGAAGAAAAGAAAATCTTTAGAAGCGCATTTTACGGCGAACACGCGAGAACGGCAGAGCATCTCTTTCGAAAGCTCAACCTCCAGCACGCAAGTGATGCCTTCTGGGCCCGTTTGCTCGAAGCGCTAACCGCGGCTAAAGTTAGCCGCAGTACCTAGGAGAGGGATTTTGAGATCACGTGACTGGCTCGGTAGGGATGTGGGGAAACATGGCGGTGCCCCAGTGAGTGAGCGCCGGTCGCTTTGGAACTAATATGTCGTTTTAGCTGCAATATCGGGCGCGTTAGTCAGCAACGAATAATGCAGGAGGTTTTCGCTTTGCCCAACCTCACTTAAAGGGGCGGTGCAACGATTTTATGATTAAAATAATTTGCATCTCGTCATTTTTACGTTGTTTATCGTGTCCCAGAGGATAGAGAAAACACTTCCTTCATTAAAAATGTCGCGATTCCGCTGCATAATCGCAAAGCAAAAGTCGAGCTTTTTCCCCAACCTGCAGCCCCAAGTGGCAGCCGAAGGAACTACGGCGGAAAGATTACGTGACCTCGCTCGGCTCTAAGCTGCAGCATAACACCCGCTAATGTACGCAGAGAGAGGGAGGGGAAGCGTCCTCCGAGATAGCACACGGGAAGCTACACGGCACTCCGAATGACGTCACTGGGAGTGCGACCAGGTGTGACCCTGAAGACTGGGAGTGAGCTGAGGGGTGCCCGAAATGCCAATCTTTATCTTTTTTTTACGCAACAACTAGGACACCCAGGCGAAATCGGTTTCCTGTTCTTTACTTCAGAAGTGTCAGGGGGCAACTTCCAGAAATCTTTGACCGAAGTCCGAAAATCGTTGCACCGCCCCTTTAAAGGGGTACTCCGCCGATTTTTGAGCTACCTCAACTAACTATATTTTCTGACTCCCCGGCATTTACCCTTTCTGGTATGCTATTTAGTATCGTGAAATTCATAATAGTTATTGCGAAATCGGCAAATGAAAATCATGCAAAAACAAACATTCAAATATACCCGCCCTTTTCAGGGCCGTGACGTCATTGGAAGGTAAGCTTGCCAGTCGGGCGAGCAGTCTAAAAAATAGAATATGCCGATCATTTGTTCCGTGCTGGAGCGCGGGGACTGGAGCGAGCTTCCAAAGCATTCATTTGACACCATGAAACTGCTTCGAATCAGTTGGGAACAAATTCTACAGTCCAAAGAGTGAACCCCCGCACTTCCACTGACGTCACTTTTTCATTGTTGCCAGTAGAGACTTTCAGTTTGAAAAACACGGTGAGGACCAAAATTGTAAATTCAATAACTTCGTGAAAAAAAATTATTTTGACCTAATATTTGGGATACCATTTTAGCATATTGTTTGGCGAGTTTAGCAAAATTTCAAGCAAATCGGGGACCATGAAGAAATCGGCGGAGTACCCCTTTAAGCCGCAAAGCATGGGCAATGACATCGCCGCATTTTTTAGATAGTGTTTCGATTCTGGGCATTCCTAAGCCTAAATGAACGCGATAATTGTCGGCATGGCAACGTCTTTGGAACGCGGATTGTTGATAGCACACAAAAGCAGACAGTGTCCCGACAGAATTTTTTCTAAATTATTCAAGCATCGCGAGGAGAACGCTGGAAGTGTAATTCTACGGTTCACGCGCGCTGGCCTTTCTCTTATAAAAGATTTGTAGTAAAAAATCATAATAAGGCTTTAACGAACGCGCATGCAAGGCAAAATTTGTTTTATACTTTTTTGCTTTAGAACGGTTGCTACTGCAGACGCCAACACGCGCGACGCGTGCAACTACAGTCGTAGCATGCACCTCGGTGCTTGGATAATTTAGAAAAAAGGTCTGTTGGGACGCCGTCTGCTTTTGTGTGCTATCAACAATCCGCTTTCCAAAGACGTTGCTATGCCAAGAATTATCGCGATCATTTAGGCTTAGGAATGCCCAGAATCGAAACACTATCTAAAAATTGCGGCGATGTCATTGCCCATGCTCTGCGGTTTAAGTGAGGTAAGGCAAAGCGAAAGCCTCCTGCACCATTCGTTGCTGACTAACGCGCCCGGTATTGCAACCACAACGGCATATTAGTTCCAAAGCGAGCGGCGCTCACTCACTGGGGCACCGCCATGTTTCCCCGCATCCCTACCGAGCCAGTCACGTGATCTCAAAATCCCTCTCCTAGGTACTGCGGCTAACTTTAGCCGCGGTTAGTGCTTCGAGCAAACGGGCCCTGGTGTGCTTAGGCTGCACTTGCACGCACTAGGCGCATGAGATGGCCAGGCGTTACCGAAGCTAGAAAGCTCACGCTGGAGGCACGACAGCGGAAGCCGCTTCCTGTCGTTCTCACTCTGTCCATTCGATTTGTCCGCACTGGTGATATCAGTCCCGTCGTCATCACTGCTATATCTCAAAGAATGTCATCGGCATTGTCTGACAAAATCTCGCTCACTTCGCAAACGACAGCATCAACCGCATCTTCCGCGCTTGCTCGGCGATCGCGTTGTACGTCGCAGGCATCACGGGTAGGGACCGATTGTGCACTTTTACAACGTACGTTGCAAGCCTGACCTCTAACTCTGGAAGGCATCCCCGCCTATGCAGACTTTGGCCCGCGGAAGCCTCTTCATTTGCAGTCACACTTAATATTCCGCACCACTGCAGACTCCTCTGCAGCGCCACCCACTTTGACGGGTCGAACTTGCATCCAGCAACACAGTTGTTTGTTGCTTCTGGATGAAGGATGGCCATAAACGAGCACCAAAAATCTAAACTGCCCAGATCACGCATGTCAATACAAAAAGAACGTAGTTGGTGCTCTACCATGGTCTTGACACTCGATTAAAAGATGTGCGACCGTGAATCGTGCAATGAACTGCGAAAAGAAGTCGCAGGTTGTGATACTGTTCCAGCGGCCACTCCGTAGTGGCTCTTACAAGTGCCGCCAGCCTTGAGAGTCGTGCACGCCGTGCGTTGTTCAACGCCATACATTCAGGCTAATTTGCAAATAGCTATCAATAATACTTGTACACACAAATTAAAATTGGCACGGCTTCAAAGCTGATAATGTCGGCTCGCTTTATGAAACAGTTATTGCTTTCGCATTAAAAAAAAAACTTCTAAAATGAGCGCACTGAACAGCGCAATGCTACAGGTACAACCGGCTGAACTCAAAACAAGTCAAGGTGTTCTGGATATTGCGATTGTTTTATTTTTGTCGGTGGTAGAATGCTTTGGTTGGATTATAAGTCGACCCCCCTCACTTCAGATTTTCAAAAATTGAAAAATGGGTTGACCTACAATCATAAATATGGTACATGCGTGCGTGTTTGTGAGCACATCTGCCACCGGTCGGCTTCTGCTGGCTAGTATCCTCTCTGGCAATATCCACCAAGCCGGCTGGCGTGCCAACTCTGAAGTTCGGGCATCTTTTTGCGGTCGCCTACTCCGAGAAGTCGACGCGGCAAGGCTGTCCTGTCGTACCTCTCGCATTGTAAGTAAGTTTCGAGGACATTGTTCTAATGGGTAGAGCCTTCTTTCCGGTTTTTAGACGTGAACCAGTTGTACGTAATATTCTGAATGATTTCGAGCCTACTTTATAAATAAATAAACATTAGTTTCTACGCACACTATAATCTGATCGTCGTCGCGTTTGCGATCAGTAGATATCGCCGCGCAAACGTGCGGAACGTAATTAATTGTTTGGGCTCTCATGATGGGGAGAACGTCGCAGAGCCTACGCTTTTCCATCGCGTCGTCTGCTTGCGAAGACTCGGGTCCAGAAGGGGCGCCGCTGTCACCGTTAGCTGCTGCTGTCACCGTTCGGTGCTGCTCGTACAAGATTTTAGAGGCGTTTTAAACATTGTCGAAGCCATGTCGTATTTGATCGTACCACCTCTCGGCGCTTCCCCTGGCCACCAGGTGGGTCTCCCCGTGCTGCTGGTGACGCGGTTCCGGACCCCAAAGGAGGCAGTCTCCCTCGTCAACTGCGTCCGGGGCCGCACGGGCGTCTGCCTCTGGACCGAGAATCTGGCCTGCGCCCTGGAGCTGGCCACACAGTTCCGGGTGGCCTCCGTCTTCGTCAACATGCCACCCACACTCGACCCGGCCGCCGAGTTCGGGGGCGTAGGAGTCTCTGGCGTGGGCAGGGTCGGGGGCCGGCAGGTGAGACTCTTCTGGGGTCGGGTTTGCCATGCCCATAACGTGTCCCTGACCGGCGCATCCGGCGTCCCGTTCCGCCCAGACGTCTTTAGTGACCTCCAAGCGGCAACGAGCGACGTTACAAAAGATGTAGCGTTGCGCCGCCAGAAGTCAACCCCGTTTTTGGACGTCGAAGTTATGGCAAGAAGCTTGAAAGAATGCGAGCGTTGCGATCATCTCGACTCCCGGCTCCCGGCTGTCGGAGCTTTTGTCGGCGGTCCAACCGGAAGGCCACCTGTGGCGGGTCGGGTGTCCGTGACGTCCGGTGCCACTGCCGCGACGTATGTCCTCGGGTTGAAATCGAGGAACCTCTTCTTAGGACGGGGTAAACGCGCCGGTCAGAGACGCATTCTGTAGTTGGCTAGGCAACTAAAGGCCCACGAAAGAAAGTCGGGGAAACTTTGGGAATATGAGTATCTCTGGGGAGTTTTCACCTTGTGCCTCGGTCGTCAGAAGTCTCGGGATACCCAATTTCGCTCGCTGGGTTAGGTTTTCGAAAATGTGCCGTGCATGCCATCTCGTTGCGCCAGACCGAGAGAGGGTTTTGGCAAAAGATTGTCTGCTCGGTTTCGAGCGGTTCCACGCGTTGCAGCTCGCGCAGAACCACTCGGCATGCGCATAAACGATTTGAGACACTCATAAAAGTTGGCCCTGTATTTGTTTTATCAATATCACGTACGATCTGGTTACGCAAGCTCCAAATTACGCTACCGTCTCCCGCGTTGCATCAGCAGTAATTCGGTGGTACAAAAGTATGGCGAGTCTCTTTGCACGCTTTTCGTCGTACGCTCGCTTTTTAATAAACACTTTTATAATTATAAGGCACAAAAATTAAAGGCGACTCATTCAACTAATTCTAACCATAAATTTGCAAAGAGTTAATTTTCTAAAATAATCGCGCATTGTTTTATTTTTGCCAAGGAGTGTGAAGAAAAACCCTTTTTTTTTCCGCTCGCAGAAATTTTTAGCAATTTTTACGTCGGTCCCGCCTATAGCACGAGTACGGTAAATAAAGAAGGTAGTATATTTTAGCGCATATTCGGGATTTGTAAATATCAATAGCAACGGTCGAAAGATTCTTCCTTTAATGGCCGTGGGAGGACGAGAGACTTACAAGATTGTCCCGAAGCTACGACGCCACCCGCGGTCTTTCCGACGTCCCGAGGATCGAAGTGGCGTTCATAAAACTAGGGTGGGTATCGCCGCACGGCTTTTCAGAACGTAGAGCTCGCGCCCACTGCAGCGCCACGCTCGGCTCTCGAGAGCACGGGTACACTCTCAAAAACAAGCTTTCGGCGTCGACTCACGGCGTCTTCCCGAACGGCGCACGCAGGGGCTGCTCACGTTCCTGAAACCGGCCTGGTCGACCGAGAAGCCAATCGTCGATCCCGAACTGGATTGGAGCCACTTTGGAAGCGAGACCCGGCCCGACCGCGTCCTGCCGACCGCCTGCCCCGCGGGAGCTCGGGGGTAAGAACACCAGAGCAGTAGGATCACCGGCCTACTTGGGCCACGGTCCCACCGCTCGAACGTTTCCCAAAAGACGTTTGCTGCGGATACGACGATGAAATTATCTGCGTTTGCTTGGTGCATGGTTGTCTGCAGACGGTTTTTGTATGACCAGTGGGACTGTCATGCGAGGAACAAACTGGTCTGCGGACTGCCTACAGCATATTAGCAGCATGACCGTTGCTAAGGCTAGTGCTATAGTTGGTGACAGTTAAGAGTAGAGTGGAAGCTCCTTTCTCCCTTTGGCAGAGCTGGAGACCTCCTCTCCTACATTTGCTCTGCTAAAGTGGGAAGGGGAGCTTTCACTCTTGACCTATCACCAACTAGACCAGGCTACACTACAGAGAAATCGGAATGGGACCGAATGGCGATGTGCGGGAGTGTTTCTGCGCATAAAATACCGTTTGTGTCTGTACTTTCGTTTCGCGTGCCCGAAGACCGGCACAAGTTGCCCTTTTGGGATCAAAGTTGTCGACGAGAATGAAAAGACGCGAGCACGCTGGTGAACTGTAACGAAAAACCCGAGACTGGGAACGGATAGAAAACCGGACGAGCGCACCCACCGTCTCGAAACTCGGCTACCCTTTTTATTTTGCGTCGTTGCGTTTATACCATCATCCCCCTTCTTCGAAAGTTACCGACCACCCTACAAAGATGACGATCTCGGGATTTTATATTATAGAAGTGGTTGCGCTTTTAAATTTTACGTTTCTGTTTTCTAACTTGCTATGCTCGGCCCTTTTCGGGAAATAAGGTGTCGCGCGTCGTTTGTAAACGATGCGGGTTGAAATCGAGGAAATGCCACACGGGGTGGACTTTTGGGGGCAAAGTCTCAGTTCATTGGGAAAGTGCTCGACGGTGGACTAAGAAGAACTAACGGAGAGTCGGGGTGCAGACGAGCCAACAAACGTTAGTTGTAACGAGACCTCGGGACAGGGTAAGCAGAAGACGACTCGCTCGCGAAAAGGCTCCATCACGGTTGAAAGTTTATTTCGCCCGAAAGTGCTTAAATAGGAAATGCCGCAAAGAGAAAGAACGTTAGAAAAGAAAACAGAAAGCAATCGCCTTCCTTTGTGCACTAGCATTTGATTTCCTCTCTTTGTGACATTCTTTTTCTTTGTGTCCTATCCTGTTTCACCCTTTTGAAGCGATAATTTTTGCCCGTGTTGGAGACTTTTTTTGCCTCGTATTTTGCTCACCTGCAGTCTTGGGGTTACTGGCCTCCTACAGGGAGGACGAGACCTTCGAGCTGTTCTATGCGGGGCAGCGGAAGAAACCAGAGTCTAGCACCTCGTACCCGGTGCACAATTCGGAGGGAAAAGTGGTCGGTTTCGCCCCAGAAGCCGGCAGGAAAGACGTCCGGAATGCGGTCGAGGCTGCCGTGGCCGGATTCAAGAGGTGAGTGACCTGGGAAAGCACTTGCAGTATACGTCTCTGTACAAACCTTCTTCCCCTCGGCAAAGATTGTTAGTGGAATCTCTGCCGAGGACCAAATTCTGAGATGTTTTTATGAACAAAGGCTACTCGCCTTTTACCCCTACCTAACATCGTGGCAGTGGGTGTCGGGCACTTCCCCCTAAGGTAATGCCACCTTGCAATCACCAAAATATTGAGGTATCGCTTGGACCAAATACTTCTACCAAGCTACATAATGGCCGGATGGCTGAAATGCAACTGGCCAGCTAAGTGATGGCACCGAGGGCAACAAAACTTGGCAGTTGCAAGCATTGCTAACGACAGTGTCCTTTCCTTTTCAAATTAAGCCACACATTTTTTGACTGGTTTTTTCCTCAAAATTGAAAATAAGTTGTTGGTAACGCTTTATAAGATGAGGCTCTCAAAACTTCGTCACATGTTTTATGTGCTTAGAAAAGCCCACAGGAATGCTCGTGAGGTCATTTTGTATTGCGATAGCCTATTTAACTGCCCTAATTAATCTATGCTCGGCAGATGGTTTTTAAACTTGGTTTTGAACACTTTAAGTGCTTTGAGCTCACTAAGTTTGTTTCGTGCCAAATTAAAAAGTACTTTTCTGCTTCTAAGAATGTGCTCCAAACTTTCCGTCCACCAGAATAAAAAGCATTTTAAAGCCGAGTGAATATTCGAAAATTCGAATAATTTTTAATGGGGTTTCCTATTCAATTCGCAGCATAACTTTATCGTTCGAAGTATTCTAGATTTTTTTTTTTTACTAATGGAAAATTAGAATAAATTTTCACCGCCCAGCAGCTTCACCGCTTTGCACCGGTGTGCTAGGAGAAACCGCCCACGGAGCGCCTCGATTGGTTTAATGGCCTCAAAAAATCGGCTCACTATTGTAGATTGGCTTATTTCTGTCAATAATGACAGTTATACCCCCAATTTTTGGGGTCAGTATCGGAAAAAAAATTTGAGCCATATCGAGGTTAATGAGACAGTCGCCGCTTTGGTTACCTCATACATTATTTTTCACTCGACTTATGCCGTCGGGTTCCTTTCTTTTTTTTCGTCTTAAAAGTTTGCAAAATGTTTCTCACGTGATAAGACTTTCTTTCGACGCGTATGCTCTCTAAGAAAGATTTCCAGGCGCGATTTCTTTAAGTACCCATGCTCAATTCATACTTTATCAAAACATTTATATTTGAAAACTTTTTCATTAGATTTACAGTCAAATTTCATTTTATTCGTATTCAATACACAGTGAGAAACGTTATATTCTCGCACCTTTACGGCGAACCAATTGCACGGCGATTTGTAAAGGAGTACGGTCATTGTCGTCGTCGTATCTCATGTGTTTTTAGGACGAGCGGGACGTCGAAAGATGACTGACGTTTTCTCCGACCGCAGCTGGTCGACGCGAGAGGCCCCCAGCAGAGCTCGGGTGCTGTACCGCGTGGCGGAGAACCTGTCCCTTCGCGCCAAGGAGTTCGCCTCCCGCCTCGGTGCCCTGGAGGGACTGCCAGCCGACGAGTGTGACGTGGCCGTGAGCACCTGCATCCGACGACTCTTCTACTGGGCCGCAACATGCTACAAGGGCATGGGCTCCGTGAGGGTGAGACACCACTCCGTTTCTTACCGAGGATACACTACCGTGTCCGCAACACATCTCCGACCTGTGCGTTTGCCGCGTCCATAAAACCGGTCCCTCGATTCCCGCTCGACGACATCGTAGGGGCGCCACGCCAACTTCGGCCGCCGTCACGGCAGTGTTGCGGTGGCGGGCATGGCAGGCGCCGTTTGGGTCGGTCGCTCTCCGGCTCAACGGTCTGCTTTGGGGGTCGGTAGTTGGGATGCTGCAACAACGGTGACAGATGCTTACGTCCTCTGCCATGTTTCACCGTGAATCCTAGCGCCAACTGTCGGGGCCACGACATCCGGCGGCGCCACACTCCGGCGTCTGCACTTGATTCTTTGCCACTTCAGGACCTCTTTCGATGTATGGGCGGTAAGGGACGCTAAGCACGTCGGTCAAGACACTTTCCAGACGTCCCAGTCTTACTTTATTGTTTCGTGACGATAGGTTCAAGCTACGTGCATGCAAACAGTGGATTTTGAGTTTGAAGCAAATAGTGACTTTGGCGGAGTATTTTAAAGCTGAACGTGTTTTATCAGCCGATTTTTGCGGAAAAGTGTTACATTTTGAGCGTAACGTTTGACTGTATTGAGAAACCAAAAGCGTTACGTCCGTAGGGAACCGAATAAAAAGACTTCAGTTTCCTCGCAGGATTCGAACTCGCCACCTCAAGATTGTAAGCCAAGTGCTTTACTGACTGAGCTATCGAGGGACGGCATTTGATGTGACGAGAGTCTCTCCCGCGCGACGTTCGAAGGCTGTGGGCCTCGTGACCTTGAAAGCGTGGGGACATGTCGTGATGCACCAGTTTGCAGTGTTTGTCAGTAATGGAAGCGAATCTTCGACACACTTACTTTGTGGCGAGGTGGTGCCATTTAGACGCCTCTCTCTTCTACCGCAGCCACTGTGAAAGAAGTTGCCGCCAAACAGCTTCACCACTTTGTAGTGGTGAAGCTGTAGTGATGAAGCTGCTCTTTCTTCCACCGTGGCCACGGTGGAAGAAGGGAGAGGCAAACTTGAGCAGGAAGGGCTTACATAAGTGTAGGCCGTAAGTGTAATAAAGTCACGTTACTTATTATGTACTTAACAGTTATCATCAGCATGTCCATGCTTCTATCATTTTTCCAGTCGAATATCTAATAGCTTTTCTTAAGGTGAAGCCCCACCCTTGATTAGTGTGATTCTGAACCAACAGATGGCAATGGGATCGACTTACAGGCAATGGGATCAATTTACGGACCTGTGCATGAAAGCAAAAAATCGTGTGTGGTGGCACTTTGATACAGCGTGGTATTTTCGTTTTACCGAAATTGACATCCCGGGGGTGGGGGGGGGCCATTCACTTGTTTCTCGACGAGTGCGCTTTCTATGGAACGCGGCCCGGCTGCACCGGTTCTCATGCAATGGGAGCAGTTGCCTATGCTGTGAGCTCACGTCTCTGGCAAATGTGTATCAGAACAAAACATGAAAATCGTCCTGATCTAATGGTTATCTATGATTCGAAAAATTGATACTGGCAGTGCACATTTATCACCCCGGTGATCTCAAACCGAACTACTAGTACCCATATTTCAACGAGGTCAGATTCGTACGACAGGTCGGCCGTTTTGTCGTGCAGGTATTTGCCACTTAACAGACCTCTTTAGAAAAGTACTCCTGGCCGGTTCCATTTTCAGTATTTGTGCGTATGACGCGTGATTTGCCCACTTTGCGAAGCGACGACCATGTGCGTGCTGGGCTCAGGAGATCACATGCTGGGCTGAGGACTTGTAGATATTAGACTGATGTATAAATATCCACAAGAAGCATGATGACGTAATGGACGTGAGGCAGGCACGTAGCCAAGATTTTGTTTCAGGGGAGCCCGCCCATGACAAAATACTATATGAGGGGGAGAGGGGAGAGGTGTACCCAGCAAAATGGAAGATTTCGAGGGGGGGAGGGGGGGGGGGGGGGGGCTGATATTTTGTTACTGTCTCCGTGCCCGCTGGCTTGCCGGAACCGCAAGAGACATGTAAACCGAAAAAAAAAAAAAGTAGACGCTTAATTAGGATTGCAGGGCCCCTTTAAAGGACACATGCAAAAAAAACTTTTTTTAAACAGTCTTGATGGAAAAAGAATTTTACAAAACGAATTTATATCAAAGAAAAAAAAATTGGAGCTATATTTACGGTGCAAAACGAATTTGTAGTTGGCGCCCGCGGGAATGGTTGCAGGTCCCTTGGCAGACCTGTGCGCCGTCACGCTGCACCGCCACCGCACGCTGGGCGTGGTGTGCCGCCGCAGTTCAACGCGTTTCTCCACGCCGCCGCCACCGCGCAAGTTCATCCGCTCTGGGGCGCCGCCACCGTTATCTGACTGACGCACCGGTCTATCACGCCTGCTTGTGCTTTTTCGGGAGCTTCCTTCGGCTTTAAAAGTTACTTATTAATCTTCTTTTTTTCGAACAAAGACGAATAAACAACTTTTAAAGACCATAGGAAGCTTCCGAAAGAGCGCAAGCACCACGTGACAAATAGCGGCCACTCACGTGATAAATAGCGGCCACTTTTCCGTGGTGCGCGTGAGCGACAACTTCAAATTTGTATTGAAATCATCTGGTGGGCTAGTTGGCCGTGCATCTTGGTAAAATTTTTCTTCCCTGTTCTTTTTCTCCCGTCTCCTTCTTTTTGTTATTTCTCTTCCCCTTCCGCTCCCTCTTTCACTGACCATTCGTCACGTTTTTCCTTGTGTGTCTTTCTCTTTTAAATGTCGATACTTCTTCTCTGTCTTTCTCTCACTTAGTGTTAAACGCCAGTTGTAAGTAGCACTCTATTCTGTCTCTATGTCCTTCCTCCCTTCTCTTTGCGCTAATTTTACCAAGGTATGAATTTGTATTGCACCGTAGATATAGCTCTAAAAATTTTTCTTTCTTGTTTTAAATTCATTTTATGACTTTCTTTTTCCAACCAGGCTGTTAAAAAAAAAAACTTTTTTTTTTTTCATTTGTCCTTTAAAGGGATCTCCGCCGTAATTTTGATGGTCACTGATTTCTATAAAATTTTCACCATGTATTTGGATGCCCTTCCTGAGCATGTGTACAAAATATCTCGGAAAAAATATTAATTTTTTTTAGAAGAAAATGAATTTTGAAATTTACATGTACACACCCAAATCACTTGCTGCAGCCCTACTGGCAACACTGAGCAAGAGCGGCACATGGAGGCTGCCATGATGGCGCTGACGTTGCCGTGACGTCACATGTTGGTCAGGGTGCTTGCTTTGTACCTAGTTGGTGCTAGCGACTGTCTGCTTTTTGCTTATGTTATCGGTTTATACAGTTATGTAAGAGCGCGTAATGGCGACTGGAGGAAATTGGTGTTGTCTGTGGAAGCGTCGCTAGAAAACATGGTCTACTAAAACCGTCTATTGTCAGACCCCAAGATACAACAAAAAGTGCCTCCAATTAAAAGGCATAACGTCGATCAGTTTTTCTTGGCGTGCTAGCAACAAAAGCTGCCTTACCATTCCGCATCGGAAGCGGCATCTGGGTCCACATGGTGGCGGATCACGAATGCAGCCGCCGCTGGCGGTTTTCTCAGAGGCGATGCCGGCGGATCGTACGAGAACAGGTTGTCATCGTCCTCAACATCTAGCAGCATATCCTCATCGTTGCTCGATTCAGACGAGCCTGATGAGTTCATTTTTATCCGCGGCACGAACACAAAACAGTGACCTGCTGCCAGGCTGGCCAGGCTCAAACTGCACACGTGCGAGTGTTTATACCATATGTGACGTCACGTCAAAATGGCGGACTAGTCGAGTGGCAAGTTAGTTTCGGTATCGGTTTCAGCGTATTTTAACGATTATAAATTATGTAAACAGTTTTTTCATGATTTAACCGCTGCTATAGGCTACATTTTTAGTACCCTTTCCGAAAATATGTTTTGATAAAAACGCTCAAATTGACGGCGGAGCTGCCCTTTAAGCTGGGATCAGAAGCTCCGCCTTCAGCACAAGCTTTCTGCAGTTTCTAACACAAGTATGGACTGAATTAATGTCGAGAGTTGGGCTAGTTGGTATTCGTTGATCATAATGTAAAAACAGCGCAAACAAACACGGACGAAGGAGAAGAAACACGCAGACGGTACAGCGCTTGTACCGTCTGTGTGTTTCTTCTCCTTCGTCCGTGTTTGTTTGCGCTGTTTTTACACAAGTATGGACATTTTACACATGCAGCCAAAGCACTGCTGAAGCCAGCAAGCTCGCACTGAAGGTGGAGCTTCTAGTCTCAGCTTAAGCGTGAACAGAGTATAGCATTTACTCTGGCGTGATACCCATAATTTACTTTTAAAACTTAAAAAACAAAAAAAGATTTTTTTTTTTTAAGTACACAAGGTGCACGGGTGTACCATCTTGCTTCGAACATGTGCTTTTTTCCTAATCGCGCTACCGCAATATTTGTACTTTTAGTGGTGATCACGGCAGGTTAGGCCTGTTGAGCGCACTTCTTTCCAAGCATCGGTGCACTGCGGACAAACAACACTCACGGAGCTCACTTTTTCAGGTGTTGCTTCTCCGCAGTGGACTAGTGCTTGGTAAGAAGCACACTCAATGGGGCTAACTCACCGCGATCACCACTTAGAAAGTATGAATATCGTGGTTCATTTTGAGGTGAACGTCAACTAGCATACGATTCGAAACTACTGCTCAAAAATTTGAATACTCTGCCAATCCTAGTTGCAGAAAAACAAGATGATGTAGGAGGGTGCAGTCGTGATCCCCGTGAAGCTGAACACACAATCGTCAACAGCTTCATGGGGGCAGCATTGGCGAACTGGCAGCCGGGGTTGCTTGCACACCCCGTCTTGCACATTGCTGCGCTTGATTCTCAAAGCACAGTTCGCAACGCTACCAGTACTGTGCGGTCGACGATCGCGTGTTCACCTTTACGGGAATCGCAATGCCGGAGCGTTTTGTACAAGAGGGGATAAGGGTGG